CTGCCAAGTTTGGAAAAAAATGTCATGTTTAAAGCCGAGTAATGCCAAACTTGGCAGGAATTTACTCCTATTCAGGGAATAAAAAAACATGATAGTCCTATTTTGAAATTTCAAAACGTTTGTACTCTTATTTAGAGAATTCTCTCAAAAAATTATATTCATGTGTAATTTATGATGTCAAACAGACCAAACTCTGATCCAATTGTAAGATTAAATTTCAAGATCGACATCATATAATTGTACATAATCATATACTCATAGACCTAAGATTTAGGAATATCTGGATCCATGATAAATGAATGAACTGAAATATAACCCTTATCCCCTCTGCCTCTGGCCTCTTTCCTTATGAGATTTTTGACATGAGATTTTTGACAGGAAGAGATCTCTCAATTATTTGTGTTGTTATTCCATAGGGAATAAGCATATATATAGGCAGAGGAGAGGGATGGGGAACCCTAGTCTTAGACAGGCTTAAATACAGGTTCAGCCTATCATTAAATCAATTAAAGGTGTAGGAGTATATGAACTGTATTAATAATATATAACCCCAATTACATGACCAATATTAAATATTAACTAAATATATTCTAACAATCAATTGTTATATTATACAACTCAATGAGTAAGAATATTAATCGTTACACAAGTGTTATACTCATTGCTACATGTGATACAAGCATAGGTGCAATCAGGCTATGTAGTTTTTGATAGAGTAGTTTTTTCTATCAGTTCAACAATTTATTTTTGCTATATATGTAGTTTTTTAAATGTTTGCTTAGGATAGTATGTGTTTGCACATTTGCTGCAGTTAATTCGTAGTTTTTGTGGATGCATGAATATTATGGCTATTTTATATTATTGGCAGCAAAATGTTAATTTAGGAATACACATTATGACATTAATAATATTCTATTATTACTCCATATGTTAGTTCGTACTTCGTAGCAATGAACATTCTAAAATGCTTCCATTATTTGATAGATTGATAATGGTATGAGTTATAGAGATTGTGTAGATCATTGTTTGGTCAAAGTGCAAGTATAGTAACAACAGTTTCATATCTTATACCTGTCTATTCTAGAAAATTCATTGATTATACATGAACATGTGATTGCTGCATACAAAAGGGAATGCAAGTGTGCAGTTATGTTATCAAGAGCTCTTACATGCCATGTGTCCATGCCAATAAATTGCTACGGAGTACTCCGTATTAATTTGCTGGCCAAGGCAAGGTTAGTTACCTGTTTTTTTGGCTGCTAGCTATCTCGAATTTTTTTCCTAATACTAATATTTGTGATCGGAAAATGGTTCTGGATGGTTGATATCCATGTAAATAAACCAAAATAATAGTGCACTCACAGAATGTTCTAATTGTTATGAAATGAATAAGATGAAGAACATATTAAAGAGATAGATATAATATTAATAAGCTCTAAAATTACTTCTTCTTAATATATGATAATTTCTGAATTTTCTGAATTAATTTACAAGAGTTTGAGCAAGCCCTATTTATACTAGCTAGGCATGGGATGAATCATCTAGGAATGATTCTACATGATTTGCTGGCAGTATTGAATCTAGCCATGTGTGTGATTACAAGGACTTGTGTTTGATGAGTAAGGATGAGAACTAGTTAGGTGTCCTGATTACAAGGATGGACAATTCACACATGTCATTTTGGCCATTTTACAACACTAATATTTGATTTTGTTTAATTACATTCTTTATTTATTTGCACACACAACAAAAATACGCCTGGCCCACATGTCTGGGCAGTGGCGGACCCAGAAACTCAGAATCACGGGGTCCCTAAACTAATGTAACTCTCATTAATATAATTTTTTTTAAAAAGCATAACGTTTCATAGGTAACGTACATCATCAAAATATTAAGATGATATAAAGCAAAAAATTACATATAAAAGTCATTCTACAATTCTACTAAAGTACCTCACATGTTTCATTTGTTGGAAATATTCTATAATATATAGGTCCACCAACGTGTACATAAAACATATTCTTTTATTCCATGGTGAAAACCCTATTCCCAAAAAATGATTACCACTAACTTTCCACTCATTCCTAAACAAATAACATGATGAACAAAATGCAGCATCTTTGGCGATACTGTATTCCAACCATTTATGCTCATCAAACCAACTTGTAACAAATCCACGTTTTTTTGCCGTCAATTACTTTAATAGGGAAATCATGATCCCGAAGTTGAAACGACCCTTTTTTTACAGTGACTATGGCGTACCCTCTCTAGAACATTAGGATGAAATCAGTATGTTGTTCACGTAGATTATAGGCCAAATTAATTCCACTTTCAACAAGTACTAGATCCAATTCTTTATTTACTAAAGACGAATCATTTGAATGAATATTTTAACTACTCTCGGTACTTGGAACCAATTCCCATTATATTTCAGATAATTTGCATTGGATGTCGAAAAAAAAACTTTTTGTCCAATGACGTACAGGAATCCGGTCAATCTCAAATAAACAAAGAAGACAGCTATGAAAGGGATAGGACGACTTACTTTTTTTTTTTTTTTTCTTTTTTAATATTGACATATGCATTCAATGTAAGAGTCCTTTCCCCAAAAACATGTCTTTCCAATTGAATAAAGCATCAAAGTAAACGAAGTACAATACAGAGTATTTACTAGGACTATATATAAATATGCATGACTCCATCCGTATTTCTAAATTCTCATTAGTTTCATCAAAAAATGCCAAGGTAGAAGAAAGGCGGGATGCATGACGATAATTGCACCTGAAATGTGGTATCACATTAAAATCTGTTTTCAATAAGTTTGTTATACCTATAGATATAGTTGACTAACTTAGCATGGTGGTGGAGTCTGCTACCGTTGTTACTTTGCTAGAGACATCGTGCAACCAGCGGAGGTCAAGTTGGTGGATGTTATGGCAAAACTGCAGTGGTTTGCGGCAACCCAATATTGCTGACGGATGCCAAAATCGGCTCTTCATCTAACGACTCAAAAAAACATCCTTCATTTTTATCAATTGTTCACTTATTTTAGAAGAAAATTCGAAATAAAAGTAAACTATACGGGTTAACTATTTTTTCAGTTAGAACATCAATATGAAAATTTTATTTGTAATCATCATCAGAAAAAACATAATCTTTTGTTCTCAGATACATAAATTATACGGAGTACGTAACTTTTTCCTACTCTTATTAATTATATTTAAATAGGTCATACTACGTATATATTTTCAGTTTCCACTATATATCCAATATTGAGATATAGATATTTCAAGTATAAATGTGATGTTTTTAGTCTTTTAGAGGTATATTTTTTTTATAACACGATTATATAATTAGTTAATTACTATATGCAGTAGTGTAAAGATTTGTTGCCATAATAATACTTACTGCAAGTCCTCATATAGTCATATGTACTGTGTATAGTCATTAGGTCTGGGACCGGTTCGGTTCTTATACGAAATTAGTGGAACCATTACAAAAAACTTGACTAATCAAATCGGTTCGGTTCCTATCTAAAATTTTAACAACCATTATGGAACCAAACCAATAGTAAATGGTTCGGTTCTTACTTTTATCGGTTCCTAAGCATAATTTTTTTTCCTTAAAAAATTGTCACCATTTACTTTCTACAACACAAAAACGTCGAAAATTCAAAACACGAGCAATAAAACATGCCAACCTATTTGGGATTGTAACTTAATATACTTCTTTTTGCGAGGAACTTGATATACTTCATTTTTTTTTACCTGGGGAGACCCGACCAGCAAGGTGGTTCGGGGTGGGGACCAGGGAACACCCCACCAGTTTATTGAATTCAAAAGGTTAAACATAGTAGGAGGGCCAAACCAAAGCCTACTCGGAAATTATAGTACATATGGATATATAGCTAATAGCATCAAATTTGAGAATACCAACAAAGTGATTAAAATGATGGGAATTGGTTTTAATCGAAGTATTACGATATGCTAAGTAATCAACTGCTCTATTCATTGCAGGGTGGATATATGTCATCGTCCACTTGCATCCTCTTAAGTGTCTTTTTGTAGCTTGGATTCTCGACCAGTGTTTCCAGTGTTGGATGGATTCTCACACAATACCCTCATAGATTTCTTTATTGTCCACCTCTAACACAAATTGAAGAATGTTAGTAGTTTTTAGGAGTGGGATAAAATAGAATGTTAGTAGCTGTGGTATTGTGATTATTTGTAAGGTGAGTAACATGACCAATGTAAGTGCCTAAATCATCATGAATGATGGCTGCAGTACGGTTAAGATTGGGAGTGATGGTCCTCGTGGCTACATTGACTTTGTAGTATGTGGTCGGAGGCTTAGCCCAATAATTAATTTGGGGTTGATGACTGCTTTTCTTAGGGGGAGTTGTAATAATAGTAAAAGGGGTGTTCTGACTTTTGGCTCTAAACGGTTTGGCAACCGACATAGCATATATATCAACTTTTATAGCATTGATAGCCTCAGTCACCGTCTGTAACACTTGAGATTTAATATAAACGGATTAATAGTACTACTCATACCAACAGAGGTGCATCTCCTATAGCATTGACTACCCAGGCACGGGAGTAGTCTTGGGATGGGTGACCCCCTGGGAAGTTTCTCAGGGTGCGCATGAGTGAGGACAAAGTGCGCGGTAAAGGCTTGTGGTGGTTTATGAGGACAGTACTAGAGGTCCCGAGTAACCACCTCGGGTCCTACGGGGTCGGGGTGTTACAGGTGGTATGAGAGCCCTATGGTTCTCTGGGGGATTTTTCTAAACAATTTTTCTAAGGTTTTCTAAAGAGATTTGCAAACATTTTTGTAATTTTCTTTGCAAGTTTTTCAAAATGCTTTTCTAAATTATTTGAAAAAAAAACTAGGACTAAAATAAAATTTTAGGCGCGTGGTGAGGTTGTGAGACTTTGATTTTGATTTCATTTGAGTTTGTGGTTCTTTTGATTTTCTTGAGATATGTTTAAATGTGACATTTTTTTTTTGCTTGAAACCCCAAAATCTTTGGATAAATCCATAACAAGTCTTAAAAGAGACAAGAAAATATTCAAAATGAGAAGCTAAATGGAAAATTTTGAAGACTATGAGGGGCTTAGCTTTCCTCTTCAATTTTGCCTTTTTCACTGACGTAGATACCATCAAGAAACTTCCTGATATCCTTCTTCTTGACATGGCATTTCTGGTTAATAAGTGCACATGACCGTGACACAAGCTCAATGTCATTACCATCCAAAACCAATTCGTCCTTTACTTTCTCGGAACGAAGAACTGTAACCCCATCAAGCATGTCCACCTTTCTAACCTTCTTCTCGCCCAGAAAGTTACGGATCTCAATGGCCTTGTTAGCGTTGGTGATAGAGGCATTAATGGGAAAGTGAGCGTAGACAAAGCGCATCTTGTAGCGGAAGCCCTTGGTAACACCGGTGATAAGGTTGTCGACGTGGCTGAGGGCAGTGCAGATTGCGGCGGTGCTCTTCCGTGATCCGAACCAGGCGTCCACCTTAAGCTTGAGCTTTCCGGTTTCCTCATCCTTAATGAGCTGGAAATCGAGATTGAGGTGCTTGAAGTTCCGGGAGAGCTTGCCTCTAGGACCCTCGACCTCGATTTGCTTTGCGTGAACCTTGATTTTCACCCCTTCCGGGATGTCCATCGTCTCTGAAGAAAGTATGGTCTTCATAGTGTAGCTCCCTCTCCCTCGATCTCTCGCTCTCTACCAGACTCGTGCTGCCAGCCCAGTTTAAATGTGACATATCCATGTATGTTTATTTGAGGAAAAGTTTGGACTTATAGAAGAACTTTAGACATTATGTGATTAGTGAGTTATTGGATATGGTAATATATTTATGAACACCATTCGATAGATTTCTTATGCGCTATCTATTCAAGAAGACAATGACGCCTATGAGGGACAACGTGAAAGACAATGATGCCACATTGACGAATGCGGAACTGGATCATGTTTTGGGACAACTTACTCAACTCATTCAGACCGCCGTATATGTGCTACTTCAAAATCGACGCCAACATCATCTCAACAAGCGCAATGATATCGTGAAACGTGCAGTTGGGCGTAATCCCCCAACTTATTTAAGCAAAGAAGATTCTCTTACTCTTGAAGATTGAATTCACACTTTCAACAAACTCTTTGACACTATGAACTGCCATGCCTTGCGGATCAATGTATGGATATTGCTGCATACTAACTACGTCAAGAGGCAAATCATTGGTGGGTCATGATCGAACCAGCATTGCGTCAACAACGCGACAATTCTTGGGAGACATTTGAGAAGGCCACGCCAGAACGATTCTACCCAGAGCACCGGAAAGCTATGAAGATTTTTACACCTGGAGCAAGTGCGTGTGACCGTCCAAAAATGATATGCCAAATCCTTGAAGCTCACATGAATCACTCTCGCGTTATACTCTGCCGAAGTTAGTAAATCTAGGTAGTTTATAAGTGTTCTAAATTTCGAAGCATAGAAGACTATCTGTGTCTTGAGATACCAAACTTTCAGTGAGACCTACGCTGAGGTCGCCAACCATGATTGAGCATGACGGCGCTAGAAGGATTCAACCACGGAGCTAAGGCAGGAAGGGCATCGAAGAGGAAATCAAACAAGGAGGCAAACGACTCAAAGCAAACCAGTCGGGGAAGAATCGGAGCGAGAACAACAACAATCAAGACCTAAAGCGCAAGAAGAACTACACCGCTGAAGAGGCACACTTCTATTGCATGATCTTCTTTGAGTAAGTTAAGTGCTTCGGGGACGAAGCATCCTTTTAAGGGGGGTAGATTGTGACACCTCGAAAATTTAAAATAAAAATATTATAAAAATAAATAAGGATGAAATAGATGTAACTTAGTGGTTAAAATTAAAGCAGATATAATGTATTCGATAAACATAATATAAAACTTAATATGAGAAAATGGAATAAAATAAAGGAATAGTAATACATGAGAAAGATGAATTCCTAATAAAGGAAACACCAACGTACATACTAAATTAATACTAAAGGTTGACTATTCAACCTAAGGTAAACAAACGGACATGGGAAAAAAACTCTAATAAGACTAAAACATGGGCTTGGTATATGGATAGGACCTCTTACTTTTTAATTCCTAAATAGGACTTATTTTCACTTGAACGGACAAAAATAACCCCAAGCTCCTCAGTCCATCACGCGTCTTCGGCTCATTTCGTTGGTGTGTTAGTCGCTGGGTTACTTAGTGCAAATCTCCCCTGCATCACTGGATTCCTACTGCCATCAAACATTGTCGTCGCCGCCATTGCAGATCGCCAACGCCGCCACCGCAGAACGCTGCCGCTGCCATCGCAGAACGCCGCCACCGTCGTACATGTGCCCAGACGCTTGAGCGTTGATTTATCGCTGCCAGAAGACCTTCAACTGTGCGGTGTGCGTCCTCCTCTACGAGATCAATCAAAGCAAAGGTGCAAAATTAAGTATTGAAAGTAATGATTTGATGGAGAAGCAGGCAATAATGGCGCAAGGCCATCTCAACTTGCTGCATGATTTTTATTCCGTGCCTCTTTCTTTGATTTGAGTCACATTTAGCACACGCCCATCAATTTTTATTCCGTGCCTCTTTATAATATCATTTGAACCATATTTGGATTATATATGGTTTTATTTATGCATTTGTGTACATTTTAATTCGACTAATTTCACATTCAAGATATGTATCAATGTATATCTTCGACGACATTTGCAAATACAAATGAAAGTAGAAGATGTTCAGTTCATTAAAACAAGATTATTACTATGAGAAGTCATTGGGGAAAAATATTACAATACATTGTCATTATTAAAAGTATCAAAATAAACAATGTCACGATGTAAAACATTATCATTATAAACCATTTCAAAATGTGAGATATCAAACATTTTCAAAAGAAACTATATCACTATATTGTAAATATTATTAAAATGTAGAAAATTTGTTACAGTAGCGGAAACAGGTCACAATGTCAAGTAACAACTATCTGAAAATCAATGTGAATGTTATAAAATGACATTGCAACAATGTCATGCTATAAAAATGACATTGTCAAAACAATATCAATGTCACACTATTATAAACATGGTCAAAATGTACGTAGTATTAAAAAATATCTAAAAGAGCTATAAAAATGAAATTGTCCAAAACTAAATACCAACAATAATTTAAATAACATGACAATATCACTTGTGGTCATATATATTGCAATGTCAATGGCATAACATTATCAATGTCGTAACAATGCCAATGACATTACAATGTCAATGACATAACAAAATAAAGCCAATGACATTGTCATTGAGATATACTATAATCACTATCATCTTATATATTTACGACATTATCAAGTCATTGTATAAATTGACAATGTAATGTATGTCATTGACTAAAACATTGCAATAAAATTAAAATAATGTCACGACAATGACAATGTTATATATAGACAATGTCGCTGTTCTGACAATGTCAAAGACATAAAAAATGACATCTCTATGAAAATGTAATATACAAAGTCATTGTATGACAATATAAGGATATCGTTTTTCTTTTTTAAAATTTAATGTCATTGTGTTAACAATGTAATAATGTTAACACAATTTATAAATATGACATTGTCTATTGTGTTGTCAATTGGCATCGTTTAAACTATGACAATGTCATGACATTACAATTATATTAATCATTTATTAACACATTGTCATTCTCTAATAAGGCAATCTAAAATAAATGCATAGAAGAATAAAAAAGGCAATCTATACCAAGTAGTAAGTAGTAACAAGAAGAGGAAGCAATCATTCGATATCTTTTTATAGAATCACAGCCAAAAGGTTCAAAGGATTACAAAAACATCCTGTAAAATTTCATCTTCAAAATAAAAAAAATAAAAAGCTTGGGAATTTCAGCATATTACGTGAATTCATCATGATTTCACTTTCCAATGTATTTATTTATCACAGCAAATCATCTTGTACAAAAAATTAACCTGTAGTAAAAACGATGCTATAGTTGCAGCTTCCTAATAGTTGAAATTAGAGAAGATGATGGTTGAAATTAAAAAGGATGCTACAATCCGTTGTTAACAACACGGATCTGAAATCAGGGCAGATCTGGAAAACAACGGACAAAAAGAACGAACGGCGTAGCTGATGTGCGACCATGGAAGGGAGGAGGAGGACAACCAAATTAAAGAAGAATTCAAAGGGCCTCCAGCCAGCTGCCGCTGCAGTGTTGTCATCCCATCTCCGCCGAGTTGCTGTACAACCTAGGCCTTCCGCCGCAGCCGCTGGTGCGGCGCTGTACCATCGTGATTGCATCACCGGCCAAGCCCCTTTGCCACTGGAAATTAAAGATCGTGAGAATTGGGTCACAGTGAGAAGCAAAAATAAAAGATACACCGGAAAATTAAGCCCGTTAACTCTTGTTTAGGTATCTTTTTTAGTCCTAGATAGGACCATTTCTCACGGACATACTCCGCAATAAAGCTTCCAAGCAACGGCTGAATCAAATAATTAGTGAATAAGATTTTTTAACTTAGTCTAGAATCTTCCGCGTATGTATATAAATAGCCCTATGATTCTGTGAAGCCAAAGCCTAGAAACAAGTCTCCCGGCGCCGGAGTTCCGCTGCTGATCAAGTTCCCATGCTGGAAAGGAAGAGGAGCCGCTGCCGGAGAGAACAAATTAATGAGCTGCGCCGGGAGAGAGAGCAGGTCACCGACGACCGCCCTGCGTCGTTTCATTGCTATGTACGGAGAAGAAGAACCGTACCGCCGGCTCACCACATTGCCCACATGACCAGCTGCAGTCTACGGAGCCGCCGGAGAAGAAGCTTCGGTTTCCCTGCTCCGCCAGTTGCTTTGTCGAAGAAGACAATCTTTTACGAGTACGTATACTCTACTGTTTCTACTGTTTATCCGTATAAATTAAACCTTAGGCCGAACTGTTTTGGTTTAGGCTGGAACTGTACAAGAGTAATAATAATACGAGTAATATATTATGATAATGATAAAATATATTGGACTAATTAATCTATTAAGAACTAAATGATTAATTCTAGAATTTCAATATATTCTTAGAAGGTGTATTCGGAGAAGTTCCAAGTAAGAGCTTCATTTATGATTTATCGCGATTTGAGGTAAGTTTCACTGCACCCAAAATTATACATTTTACCTCGTAATTATTTCAAATGTTTTTATGTGCATGTTTGAGAATTATATTGGTGTAGTAAATTTAATTATTCTATTGAATTGTTTGTACTTGACATATTGATTCATTATTATGGAACTGTGGTGTGAGTTATTGCATATGATTTTTGGGAGATTTTTACTAGTGAATATTTTGATGTCATTGTGATTAATTTGAAGTTTGAGAAAGTGTGGATTTTAGCGTATTTTGAATAATACGAACTCTTTATTGGATTTTGATAACACAA